AGAAAACTGCACGGACATGATGACAACTGCCAAACATGTGCTCTCACTGTCACTGAGTACGACAGCTGCAACAGATGGGTGCACTGCCGATGTGACGAAGAAGTGTCACATCAGTACTGTAACTTTATGACGCGTCACCCGTGCACGTGGTTTTGTTACATTTGCCCACAGTGCTGTCTGAGACCGCACCTAGCTTCAGGCTTACTCAGGGTAACCGATAAATCTCCAGTAGTCAGAAAGCAGGTATCCGTCCAGACCACTGTCACAGAGGATATTCAATCTCCAGATGATTTTGGCAATGGCCTACAGAAGACCGAAATCCTGAGAGGTTCTAAACCGAACAGAGCACCGCCTACACCAACGACAACTGCACCCGCCTCAAGCCATGGAGCACACCAGAAACAGCATCCAGCGGACAACATGGAGAACGGGTCAGGGTGGAAAAAAACTCGAAGCACCCATGAGAAAGCACCTATAGAATCGAATAATGTTGGCATCACTGACCGATCTAGCTCTGTCATTCCGCTTAACTTTCCTGTCTGTGATGATAGCCTTCTGTAACATAAGTACAAGTTTGACAGGCAGCAGTGGGACTTCCTCTGTGCCATGCTAGGTCTGGGCGCTCTCGAGGCAAAACTGTGTCGACTACACAAAGGCACCCACTCACCCACAGGGAAGCCTCCACCGATGAGTGACTCTATGCTCAACTAGAGATGCCGAAAATTCCTCTTACTGTCACACATCCTGGTCATCAACAGATCGTCCAACATTAGAGCCAGACCTGACCGATCATGGGTGTCAAGAAAGGTATCTCAAGAAGCCACTGGTCCACTAAAACCCACAGCCATGGTCATGCATGGAATACCTGAAATGGTGACCGGCACCTCAGGTGAGAAGTACACACACGACGTCAGACAATGGGAGTGGTTATCGGCTCGGATGGAGCTGAACGGGGTTTCAGCTGAGACAATTAGCAGACTACCACGCCCCCTGCATCTGACACCCGTGACCTCACGTAGACTAATGGCTGTCAACTTCGAATCTCCAGAATTACTCACCAGAGTGCTGGAGACGTGGTACAAAGTCAAGAGCACCATAAGCGGTAGCGTTCGCTGCTGTGAAAGCAGGCCGAAAATACTGCGACATCAACAGACAGCAGTTACGCCCTGTGATCAGGCCACTGTAACCCTAAACCGAAACGTTGAGCGTCAGACCAGCAACCTCCACTCAACACCGAATACAGCAGTCGACGAGGGAAAAAAATTAACTGGGCCAGTTCCATTGGGAGTGGCCAGTCAATAGAAATCCCCACATCCAAACCAGTGCCACTAGTTAACTCAAAGGCTTCTCACGTTACAAGAAACACCTCCAAGTGTCTCTACAGCAACGTGAGGGGACTCCGAAGTAAAATGCCAGGGCTCCGATACCTCTGTCTCAACCTCGCCCAAAAAATCATGATCCTGACAGAAACGTGGTTGTCACCAGACATAATTGACACCGAGGTTAACATAGATGACATGATTCTGTTCAGGAGAGACAGAGAACATAGGGACGGAGGGGGCTGCAATATACGTGGGCAAGTGGTTCAGAAGCGAACAAACCACCGACACGGCACTGACAGAGCTCTCAGACTCTATCTGGTGCCACTTCACGGTCAAACACACCAAATTCCTAGTTGCAGGAATCTATGGGTCCCCTAATAACAACCTGGAATACAACCAAAAACTACTCCAAGCAATATCCACGGTGTCAACTATAGGGTACGACCAGGTTTTAATGGCTGGCGACTTCAACGCTCCAACCCTCAGCCTAGGGCAAGGTGGCCCGGCTCTGAGCCGGAAGTTCGATTGTAACCATTTAAATGCCGTCCAAATGACTAGAATGCACGAAAAAACCAGCAACAACACCCGCTGCGGGTCAAACGGTAAGTCATCTGAACTGGATTGCCTACTGGCTAGTGATCACCCTCTGGTTGAAAACGTCCAGATCCAAACTCGGCTTGGAGGGAGCGATCATGCTATGGTTGTGTTCAACTTGGTAATCAGTGAACAATTATATTGGGAGGGACCTCGCCCTTATCTCTGTTACAACAAGGCATATTACGAAGGTATGAACAAGAGCCTTTAAACAACTTCGTGGCCGGTTGATTAATGTTCTTTATCGATCGACCAGTACTGGGAACTGGTAAAGGATATCATTAGGGCGGTAGTCTCACAAAATGTCCCCTTGGCGGTACCAACAACCAGAAAGTGAACGTCATGGCTTAAACGGGGCACTAAGCGCCTTCCAAAAGCCAAGAGAAAGGCATGGCACACATGGGGACTTTCCAGAGAACAGGACGACCGTGACGCATACATGACTCTATGGAATCGAAGCAACATAAGGGTGAAGGGAGACAGGAGGTCGTTCCAGTCCAACTTCGCTGAAAGGCTGGAGGCAAACCCTAAAACCTCTACCGATTCATGGCAAAAAGGAAATCGACAAGCCAAGGAGCATGCATCATAAACGGCCCTAACGGAGAAAACCTCCCTGGACAGGAGATTGCTGAAATGCCGAGCACTACATTCGACACACAGCTCAACATTCCATCAAGAAAGTGCGCATATCAACTGCACGGACAGCCGTCAACGTTACCCGATGCTACTGAGTTACACGAAATACAGGTAACTCGCGCTGTTGTTCTTGACAAGCTTTTAAAGTTAAGTGCGGGAAAATCCCCAGGGTGCGACGACATTCGCCCATCTGTGTTGAAAGAATGTACAAGTACCCTAAGTGGCCTACTTTGCAACCCCTTCCAACACTCCTTGGATGAGCGAAAGCTCCCACGAGAGTGAAAAAAGGCTATCCCTTCTCCCATCTTCAAAGAAGGAGACAGACAGAATCCCAACTGCTATAAACCCATAGCACTTCCACCAATAATATCAAAAGTAATGGAAAGTGTGATGGACGACCGTATCAGAGACTATCTGGACACCGAGCGGGCACTCAGCGACGCTCAATATGGCTTCCGGAAGGGTAGGTCCTGTGCCTCCAACCTCCTGACGGCCCATGATCACTGGACAGCATGTTGGGATCTCAAGGTCCCGGTCCACGTAATTTTCCTGGACTTCGCCAAAGCCTTTGACACCGTCTCACACCATATCCTAATACATAAGACAGCTGGTTTAGGTATTCGCAGCCAGGTGTTATCGCAGCTGCAGAACTACTTAGACAACAGAGAGTTCTGCACGAAAGTCAACGGGGTCCATTCAACTTGGAGAACATCCTAATCCGGTGTCTCACAAGGAGCAATCTTGGGCCCACTGTTGTTCCTGCTGTTCGTAAATGACCTGCCACAACATATCAGCTTCCCGATTCTCTTATACGCTGATGATGTCAAGTTATGGAGGGCAATAACTTGCTAGGCGGAATCTATGGCATCACAGAAGTGTTTCAGAACACCAGAGGAATGGGGAACTAATAACGAATTGGCATTTAATCTTGATATGTGCCGGTCCATGTTTTTCCGAACTCCTGATCCCCAGAAAACATCCTACTATCTCTGTGGTTCACGTCTATCCCATACCACAGTGGAAAAAGGCCTGGGTTTAACGGTGACGGAGAAACTGGACACCAGTTCCAATTACCCAGGTGATGTCTCAAAAGCATACGGGGTACTACACTTTGTGTGCGGACAACTGGGTGCCCTCGCCCCAGAACTCTTTTTGAAGCTCCACAAGACTTACATACAGCCCCACTTAGGGGTCCATAACGTCTTCGCTCCACCACAGCTGAAAAGAGGCGCGAACTTACTGGAGAAAGTCCAGAGGCAAGTCAGGAAATGGGTTGTTGGAATGCAACGAAAACCATATGAGGATAGACTCGAAGACTTAGGTCCATACTCCCTTAGCTATCGAAGGATAAATGGCGACTTAATAATGGCTTACAAAATAATGAGTAACCTAAGTCACCCAAACATAGGAGTCCTACCGAGTGGCCACTATGAAGATTCCGGAGGAAACCCCAATAGGATAGCACACCAGAGGTCAAAAACGCATGTGCGCTCACATTTCTTCTCCCTCCGAGTCTGTGGGTGCTGGAACGCACTACCAGCAGAGGTGGTCTCCGCCCCAACTGTTGAAAGCTTCAAGAAGAGGCTAGACAGTCATGCAGAGACCCACGGTCTACCCGCGCATAGTTGGAACACGATGTCAAGCCACCCCAACCAGTTTTCTTTCTATTGTAACCATTTAAGCCCTTTTCACCCCTTCACTTGCCATAAGTTAGCCTCACTTACCTAAGTTCTTCATACCTTTGCACCCCTACTCACCTTACTTGGGTGTAAGTAGATTACTCCATTAGTTCACTTTTCCTCTCTTCTTTTACTCTCACAAACACTTTTCAGGTTTTCCCTTCACTAGCCCTTACCGTCCGTAGCGACCAGTCCTAACAACTGTCTGGCAACTCGGCATCTGAAGAAGCCAACTGCACCACAGTCCAAGGCAAGCAAACCAACACTTAACTTCCTGTTCTGCAAATCAGAGCTATAGCAGGCGAGTGGCTGGACCTACTGCATCGGAATCCGCCAAAGACCTGGAGCCGTTCCGCAAGACCAAGAAGCGAGCGTGAAGAAATCAACTGGTTACACAAGCTCGTTAAAAAGATATTGGATATTGGATATCTGCAGACCAGGTGCAGTAATACTACCTTGAGACCAGATTAATTAATAATCGTATCTTTAACCATTCAGGTTTTCCAGAATCGGGAAGATAAGTGTGAACATTCCAAACCCAGAACGTATTCCAATAAGGCAGACGTAGAACCGAAGGAACCACTGTTCAATAATTCTACAACACGAAGTCTGAAGGTCGAAAACTAAAAGTTCCTTCTGCTTGCACTCTTGATATTGGATGTTATCGAGACGGTTTTTCGGTTATATGACATGCAAAGAGATAATCTGAACCACACTCCTAGCACAAATTATGCACCACAAAGTTTAAGGAATACTCCACAATGGTTGAATGAGCTCAAAAGAAATATATTGGACCTTTACAATTGCAGCCACTTTTGAATGCTTGCCGTCTTCCCGAAGGTGCTTTTCTTTGATGCGTCACTTGCGGGGTTCTGCGAACTATTCTCGCGACCATAGAGGTAAATAATTGATCATTTTTATGACTTCTATGCTTATTTATTGTTGTGGGTATGCAACGTGCTCGTTTAATGTTTGCATTTCGTTTTAGCACCTGCCCGTTCGTGCTTCCTCTCTCAACCAAGAGGCCCTACAACCAGACATTTTGGTGTTTGGTATCCCAGTTCTGCAGTTAGTCAACCACTGGGAATAGGACAAGATGTGCGCACGGTTACTTCGTTTTCTCATGCACCTCGCCTGCCTTCCAGTCATTTGCCATTACTGACACATCTAACTTTACGTTCACAGCATTCAAATCGCATTCGAGCCAAAGGTCAACAGTCTTATACTCGAACTCGTTTCTTACGCAACAGAAAGCAGAGCGTTTCAACGACAAAGAGCATCTTAAATCCAAGTGACCCTTTGAATTTGCAGGACTTAATGAAAGAGACAGAACGTAGACGAGTTGAGGGCTTATCACCGCTACGTGGGGACTCACGCATGAATACCCCAGCAGTTAGTGTTGCAGGTGATGTTGACTATGGCAGTCCACAAAATCATGGTGTGGTGACGTCAGTTACATCAAAGGACTCAGGATCACTCAACTTTAATACACGTAAATCGGAATGTATAACAAAACGACATGTTCATCGCCTGGTACGCAGGCGTCCTATCCGCAGCTCAAAGTTTTACACTGTTAGTCATCGTACAAGGGTTTTATCCCCATAACTGGCAACTACTCTGACTATTACAGCCGCCGTGACCCGAATGATAGACTTCCATATTTGATGCCTGAATGGTTTGTGGGTAAGGATGTAGCAGACTACGGGTGTCATAATGGAACATTAACGTTTAGTGTGCTCGAAAGATTCCCAGATATTGGTAGAATTGATGCTTTCGACTGTGATGCCGAATTGATCGCCAATGCTCAAAGTATGCAAAGAGAAAAGTTACGTTGGGATACAGGATCAAATGTGAGGTATGAGAAAATTAAATTCCAAGTTGCGAATTGGATTGATGAGTCCACTACTATTGATGAACCTGAGTACGATACCATTATGGCGTTCAGTGTTACGAAATGGATTCATCTTAATCATGGAGATCCGGGTCTCATGAGGTTTTTCAGACGTGCCTTTAACCTCCTGAAACCAGGCGGACACTTGATTCTGGAGCCACAACCTAAATCTTCGTATAAAAGAACAAGGATGACGGTAAGTTCACACCTCATAAATATTATTTTACAGGCTAAGCACAGATCAAATTACGCATCGCTAAAAATAAATCCTTCAAATCTGGAACCTTTACTAGTTGATCTGGGTTTTTCATATTTCGACACCATTAAAGCCCCAAGACCTAATGAACCATTTCGGCGCAAAATTATCCTGTGTTCAAAATCTTATGGAGCGACCCCTGCCTCAATACGTAATGATTTACGTTCTGAAGTACAAAGCTGGCAGGCCTTTAGTTCACCTCATAGTCCACAAAGCCGTGAACCTCCACCGGTGTGTTATCTTCCACAAACCCCCGTATATAATTTAGGCACTCCACTTACAATAAACAGTTCTCCTACAAACAGACATCCATCTGTTTCTAGTACAGTTTTGAGTCCTATTGTTTTACCTAGTTCTCCACTTGTTGAGGTTGTAAATCCAGTCTTAACTCCTAATTGTGAACCAGATTCGACGTCAAATTGATAAATTACAATTTGTGTACATACTTCTCACTTCACTCATACTTGATTTCAGTTTCATTTCAAAAGTTGTGTATAGTTAACCAGTTTGTATAATATATTAAAAGCGTTTTTTACTTACTTATTTATGTGGTTATTTACGAGAGTTTATTCATTTTCTCATCATTTATCATGTTAACTTGGACCTCCATATGCACATATGAAGTAAAGCAACACATACTGTTACACAGTTGTGCTTTATTCGTTGCTTTTCTTGGGTACACAGACCAAAGTGCTCATTGCTTGTAGAGTCGCTACTGGATAGGAAATAACGTTAACTGTTTTTCAGATTCCAAATTATTGGTAATTCAGTTATATTGAGTCTTTCCACAGATACTTTCGCTCTTAGGCTCTTAGACGAATTTCTAAAAAGGACTGATTGTAGAATACAGTCACGTGAGTAGATGGCTTACGTCAAACGACTATCTCTAGAAACTATGCTTGACTTCTGCATAACTGAATTAATGGTTGACCAACATCCAGCTGATGCTACGAAGGCAACGATAATTAAACACCTCAAACTTTGTCTCCGGTGTAACGTCCATGTCTCAAATACAGATGGATAGACAACGTACAACCTCACGCAAGTGTATCGGTTCAAGTTGTCACACTTCACATTAGTACTAGACAACGAACAAGTAGACAAAGAAAGTGATATCAAGGTAGATAAAGTTGTGTGAGAGAATAAACAATTTAAAGATAAAGCTTCGCAAGACATCGGGGAGTAAATACATCTGCGCCACCTTTACCGATTTTTAGCCGTATTACCAAGAGTTCTCAATCACTGTTTCTTATCGTCTCGGGGACCTTAGCCAGGTAGTCTACATGGCTTAGACTGACCATGGTGCCACATTTTGATCTGACCACCTTTAGCCTTCCTTTACCCCAATCCAACTTCTGTTAGCATTGCACGTTGAGTTGTGCGGTGATTTGGTATACGCAACACATGACCAATTCATCTCAATCACTGAAGGTACACAACTTCATCAGTTGACTTGCTTATCTTGTCCAGTACTGTTCACCTAACCCCTACGTTTCTCACTTGATCCTACCAAACGCGATCCATGCTACAAAAGCATCTGTGATCGAAACCCTGTAACCTCTGTATATCTACTTTTAGCAGCCATGTCATAGCCAAACAGGTCAGAACGAACTGCATGGCAGTTTTCTCGTCCTGTATTAGGTAGTGGAATATTTTGTCAACCGGTGCCACGGATGACGCAAGTTAGGAAATGCGAGACGGGGTTTTTGTATCTGAGCTGAGATTTCGTCAGCAACTAACTATTTCGGGCTGATGCTACTTCCCAAGTAAGTAAAAGGGTTGACACATTTCACCACTTCACTCTCTATCCTTCAACTAAGTGTAGTTGCAGACTACATCTTACATCTGCATGAAGCGCATGCCGAACTTTCACGGATTTCTGCTTGTGGTGCTCAGTGTTTTCACCTAGCAGGACAATGTCGCCTACATACTTCAAGTCAACAGATGACCTCCATCGAGTAGATGAACTCATGTGAAGTCAAACGTACCTAAGATTATGTTACAACTGTAACCAAATTAAGCATGAACAGTGGGTATCTCTACGACCACTTGTAGTTGTCATCACTTCTCAGGACAACTCTCCAATTAGCCCTTACAAGACCTTGTGAGTTCGACTAGAGAGCGTTGATTAGTGTTGTATACTTACACGGTACTCTCATCAGTCACACTGCCACATCTCACGGTCAATATCGGAGGGTGAAAATATCATCGATGCACCCTGGCGTACAGGTATGAAACCGGAGTGGTTTTCTCCAGCTCCAGTAAGGCGTCAGATAACTATAGCTCTTAGGATACTGGACGCAATATTAGTCAATCTAATTACCTTGTTGTGACGGGAAGATTTCTTTCCCTTTTATGGACTGGGATGATCAGAGAAGCAAACCGGTCTGACGGCACTACTTCTGCTTCCCATACACTAACTAGTTCCCATCACTTTAGTTGGAAGTTCCCTATCTCCATCCCTGAAGATTTCAGTTGGCAAACTGTCAGGTTCTGCTACTTTGGATCGCTTCAAGCTCGACTTCAAGGAGAATTGGAGGATGGACATCTACGTCGCATTCAGGTTCAGGTTGGATGTTGAGCAACAAGCGTTGCTGAAGGCCAGTTAAACTGTGCTTCAAAGTGCTCTGCCCAATGTTCTGGCCGTGTGTCTTTGGAGGTTATCAGTGTCCTATCCTTTACGGTAATGGTTGTTTTCTTATCAGCATCCTTAATAAGCCCAAATAGTTGTATTACCTAACGCTGATGCATTCTTCATCTCTTCCGCACTCGTCATCCACCACTTCTCGCGATCATTGCAAAGACATTTGGTCAGTTTACGTTGAATTTGATTCCACTCTTCATTGTTGTCAGCCAGCTGGAATCAGTCTTCTCGTATCGATCGGCGTGGATCGTATTTGATTTCCATCTGCTAGTTAACAATTCCGATAACCTAAGAGCACCTTATCACTAAATTGCTACACTATGATGGGGATCTGAGGGCGAAGTCGTACTGCTGCTAGCTGGATGGGGTGTGACAGCAGTAAGGTGTTCCCCTTGAATGACCGGCAGTGTCGTACTGATGCTGCCTTCTCAGTGGAAGGGGGGGGGTTAGAAAAGGTAGGCCCCAAAAATAACACACTCCACCATGTCCCACGGTCTGCCGGGCCGGCAGTGTTGGTTCACTTGTCGTTTCCTTTCGACCATCCGGCCCCAAAAATACAAAAGTTCAAAATAATCATACTCAAAAGGCTTCGTGTGACAGGCCTCAAGCAGATGTCCGATGGGCTTTGCGCTCACACAAATCTCTTTCAGATACCTCAAAAAGAAATAGCCTTCCATGGTGTTGGCAGCCGGGAAGTGTCAACCGCCCTCACAACTCTCTCAGCACCCAAGTTTCTTCAGACTGCTATCCACCTCCTCCATCATTACCTTCTGATCTTTTTTCACATCTCTTAACTAACGATACTACATCATATTTCTCCTAGTTCTGCAGCCTTCGACAACGATCTGAATCAACACGACAGCACCCCTAGTCTCCTTAAACTACGCTCCGAATTACACATTGGGACCTCCAATGTCCGAGCCCTCCGTCAAATTGGTCAACAGGCTTCGTTAGCAAAGACTCTAGCAACTCGGGCCATGGATGTGTGCTGTGTTTGTGTGACTGCCATACAGGACCCAAGTGCAGTTGTCCACCTGACTTCTCCCGGCCAATTTGGTGAATCCGCAAAATTCACCCTTCAAGTTTCTGAAGATTCGACAGCTAGCTCTCGCGGTCTTGCAGGTGTAGGCATAGCACTAAGCACTAGAGCAGAAAGCTCACTACTGGACTGGATGCCAGTTGATAGTTGCCTCTGCGCTATGAGGCTGAACGACATAGTGATAACTAAAAGGAATAGTGAGACTCGCCGTTGTCTCTTTATAATCTCTGCTTACGCACCCACTGACTGTAGTTCGGATGAAGTGAAGGACGAGTTCTACCATAAACTGTCTATCCTCCTCTCGAAAGCCAAACGTTCAGACGTGGTGGTTGTTGCAGGTGACTTCAATGCACAGATGGGTAGACTGAGTGAGGCAGAAATGTACTTAGGTGGCACTTTCTGACTTGCAGCTGAACGAATAGATAACGGTGATCGCTTACTACAACTATGCTCAGATAATCGCCTATTTTTAGCCACCACTGATTTCAGACATGAAGAAAGGCACTGTCTGACGTGGCGTCCACCGAGCTCAACTCAGCGATGGACACAGATAGACCACATTGCTATTAGTCATCGCTGGAGAGACAACAGAGACAACAGCGGCCATGCTCACACCACTATTGCAGAAGGTGTGGAAGGAAGAGAAGGTACCTGACGATTGGAAGAAGGGTTACCTTGTCAAACTGCCGAAGAAGGGAGACCTCAGTGCTTGCAAGAACTGGCGCGGAATCACTCTCCTGTCCACCCCAAGTAAAATATTAAGCCGCATCATCCTGGAGAGGCTAAGGGATGCACTGGATTCAAAACTACGACCGGAACAGGCAGGCTTCAGGAAGTACAAATCATGTGCAGACCAAATTGCAACGCTTCGCATCATCATAGAACAGAGCATAGAATGGCAATCACCTCTCCACCTCAACTTCATCGACTTTGAGAAGGCCTTTGACAGCGTCGACCGAGAGGTAATTTGGAAGCTGCTTCATTACTACGGAGTGCCGCAAACCTTTATCCGCCTCATTCAACAACTATATGAAGATGCCACATGCCAAGTAATCCACAATGGGAAGCTCAGTGATGCCTTTGAAGTGAAGACAGGAGTGAAACAAGGTTGCCTACTATCCCCCATGATATTCCTTATTGTGGTGGACTGGATCATGCAGCAAACAGTAGGCAGCGAGAAGAGGGGGATACACTGGACGACGGAAAAGAACCTAGAAGACTTGGATTTCGCCGATGACTTATGCCTAATGTCACATAAACTTGAAGATCTGCAGGCAAAAACTAACAAGTTGACAGAAGAGGCAGCTATGACGGGACTTCAGGTGAATATAGAGAAGACAGAAGTGATGAAGATACCGCACCACCACCATCAACAACAACAAACTCCAATCACTGTCAACGGGAGAAACTTAAAGGAAGTAACCTCCTTCACTTATCTAGGAAGCACTGTTTCAACTACAGGCGGGACGGACGAGGACGTCAAAGTCAGAATCGGAAAAGCAAGACAGGCATTCATTAGCCTGAAACCAGTGTGGAGATCTTCTGCACTCAGCATGCGGAACAAGATACGGATTTTCAACACCAACGTCAAGTCAGTGCTCTTGTATGGCTCAGAGACTTGGCGCGTCACGAAAGGTATTTCCAATAAACTACAGACATTCATCAACAACTGCTTACGCTCGCTGCTGAAGATCAGATGGCCAGAAAAAATAAGCAACAAGGAACTCTGGGAACGAACCA